TGTGGGTGCAGTGGGGGCTGTGGGCATGGTGGGGAGGGTAGGGGCTGTGGGCGCCTCGGACGCTTCAGATGCCTCGGGGGCCGCGTCGCCGCTCTGCTCCCCGAACTCGCGCTCCCACTCGGAGTCGTAGTCGTCGGAGAGGCCCAGGCTCTCGTTGTCGTCGTTGTCGCCGTCGTCCCTCTCACCGTCGTCGCCGCCGCCGTTGTCAAGGCGGTCGCGCTCCCTCTCACCGTCCGCGTTCCCCCAGGCCGGCGCCACCGGTTCCCGGGCCGGTTCACCACCCGGTTTCACGTTGTCCTGCAGAGAGGAGGAGACGCGAGCCAGGTCTCTCCACTGCTGGATGAAGATCAATGCGATGGTGGTGGTGATGTCTCTACCCCACGTGCACATCAGTGTAATCACCATCACTGTGCTCTATACACTGCTGAATGAGAATCAATGTTATGGTGTTGGTGATGTCTCTACTCCACGTGCTCCTCAGTGTAATCACCATCACCGTGGTCTCTCCACTGCTGGATGAGAATCAATGCGATGGTGGTGGCGATGGTGTTGGTGATGTCTCTACTCCGCGTGCTCCTCAGTGTAATCACCACCACCGTGGTCTCTCCACTGATGGATGAGAATCAATGCGATGGTGGTGGCGATGTCTCTACCCTGCGTGCTCCCTCCCCCCGTGTCTCGGTGCTCCTCTGCGCACTGCTTGTCCATGTCCGTCTCTCTGTTCCGTGTCGAGCGAGCCGGGCGATTCGAGCGGCGGGCGACCCGCGTCACGAATACATCACGGGACAAGACTCCCGTTTTACTACCAATAAAGCAACGTCCACGTCCATCGGCCCACCCCGTAAACACGCGACGTTGGGCACCAGAGTCGCGTGGTGCTTACAAGGCCACCGACCTTTGGGACACCGCGGGACTTACGGCGCCGTTCGCTCGGGGGCCTCCAAGTGTCGTCTCGCCCTTCGCTCCAGTCGCGGGGAGAGGCTCCTTCATTCGTTTCGGAAAGAACGGCGGCGCTTTGCCGAAACCCGCTCATCGCACGATCACACGTAAGTGGAAGCATCTTAGCCCACAGAGGACCGCAGAGCTCGGGGCAACCGTTGGTAGCAACGGCCCGCCATAGCGGTTACGACGCCGATAGCAGCGACGATGCCGATGACGCCGACGGCGATTGCGGCCACCTACCGTCTTTGTCCGACTGTACGGTTGCTCCGTCCCCGCTGCGCTCCGATTGGCGGACGGGTGCTCCAGGTTGGCCCAGTGGTAGGCCTCGGCCTTGCGAAGAGTCACCTCCACCTTGGTGGGGGCCATTCCCATCGTGCAGTGCTCCACGTCAACCGTCTGCGGCGGGAGGGCGACAAAACGAGGGCAGCCAACGACGGCCTTCGGATCTCGGAAGACAAGCAGAGCAGCCACATCGTCCCCCTTGCTGACAGACTCACGTTATGGGAAAGCTGCCACTGGGGGGGCCCCTAGGCCAGACCACACAGCAACATCGCCCCCTGCTGTGAGACTACTGCACGGGGACAGCTGCCACTGGGGGTGCCCCTAGGCCAGACTGCAGGCCGTGTGGGTGAAGCAAAGTGGTCGCCCTCCTCCTGTGCTTCGTGTCAAGTGTGGGGGAACGTACCCCGTAGAGCTGGAACCTCCTCACAAACTTCTTGCCTTCGTCAAACACCAACGTCACCTCAAGCTGCCAGACAGAACCAGACAGACCCCAAACGCCACCATCACCTCGGGCTGACAAACGCAAAACTGGGACATCTGAAAAGTGCGCAAAGCAGCTTTGTCTCAGTCTCTCTCTCAGTCTATCTGCGCGTGTCTCTGCGCGTGTCTCTGCGCGTGTCTCTGCGCGTGTCTCTGCGCGTGTCTCTGCGCGTGTCTCTGCGCGTGTCTCTGCGCGTGTCTCTGCGCGTGTCTCTGCGCGTGTCTCTGCGCGTGTCTCTGCGCGTGTCTCTGCGCGTGTCTCTGCGCGTGTCTCTGCGCGTGTCTCTGCGCGTGTCTCTGCGCGTGTCTCTGCGCGTGTCTCTGCGCGTGTCTCTGCGCGTGTCTCTGCGCGTGTCTCTGCGCGTGTCTCTGCGCGTGTCTCTGCGCGTGTCTCTCCCCGTGTCTCTCCCCGTGTCTCTCCCCGTGTCCCTGCGTGTGTGTGCATCACCGTGGTGGGGTTGGCGTGTGCGCTGGAGAGAAGGGGCTGAGCGTCGCGTGCGTAGATGCTCAGCACCACGTCGCGAGCCGTCTGGTGCCAATCGAAACGGCACTCGGCAGACCGCTTCTCCTGCACGTGGCGTTACACACGCGCACAGCCAGCGTTACACACACACACACAGACAGACACAGCGTTACACACACACACACAGACAGACAGACAGACACTTACACACACACACACACACAGACAGACACAGCGTTACACACACACAGACACAGCGTCACACACACACGCGCACAGCCAGCGTTACACACACAGCGTGTGTGTGTGTGCGAGTGTGTGTGCGCGAGCGTGTGCGTGTGTGCGAGCGTGTGTGTGCGGGCGTGTGTGTGTGCGAACGAGTGTGTGTGCGTGTGTGCGAGCGTGTGTGTGCGAGTGTGTGTCGAGTGTGCGTGTGAGTGCGTGCGTGTGTGCCCCACACCTGTGTGGAATCGACCCAGCGGTGGGTGCCGTGGCAGCACCCGACTTGTGCCAGGAAGCTGGAGAACTCCGTCGTGCGCCGCTCGCAGCACGACCAGAACTTCATGCTGAGAGACACCCCCACCGCACGCAGACAAAGACAAAGATCCCCCGTGTAGCACCCCACAGACCGCTGGGGCAAGTGCTGTTAGCGAGCAGCACCGACGGAGGCCGGCACGGCACACGAGGGGGTGGGTGGCCAGCACCACGCCCGGACGCCTTTGTCTCCCCAGTGGCGATGTTTACACACCGCACCAGGTACTCATTTGAGGCTGAGTCGACTTAGGGGAGGCCCAGGACCGGTTCAGATGATCGTCACTGGTGGTGTTGGCCACGAGCGGGAATCGAAGCCGGATCGCCAGGTTCGTAGCGCAGCGTAGCGCTAACCGCTACCGCTCACAAAGGGCGCACACACAGCCACACACAGACACACACACACAGACACACACAGACACACACAGACACACACACACACAGACACGCACACAGACACGCAGACACACACACACACACACAAGCCGTGCCCGCTTAGCTGTAATAAAATAATATAATAATAAATCACGACGTTTCGGAGGCAACACAAGTCTCCGTCTTCAGGTGGGACCGTCACAGCCAGATTTACTGCGTCAAGTTTAGCTGTGACGGTCCCACCTGAAGACGGAGACTTGTGTTGCCTCCGAAACGTCGTGATTTATTATTATTTTATTATTATTTTCCCACGTGACTTTACCGAAAAAAAACCTAAGAGTATGAATCCTTGCAAGTCACGAAAGCTTCAAATCTAGAGCTCATCTGTAACTATGATCATTCACCAGCCGTGGCGTATCGCTAGTTTGGTGTTAATGTGCCGTTCTGCTAGGAGATTGCTGCTGTGTGGTGTGGTCTTGGTGGAGTCGTCGGGGTGAGTCGTCGGGGTGAGTCGTCGGGGCGAGTGCTCACCCCTCGTGGAACACCGGCACCCCGGGGTGGTGGATGCACGGCTCCGTGATGGACGAGGCACCGTCTCTGTACGTCTGCAACACAAACGGCAACTCGCTCGCTCGCCTGCTCACCAGCCACTCGCTCTTACCCACAATTCACTTGGCCGTTCATTGCGACTCCCTCTCCGTGCCAGCGTGCGTGCGTCTGTTGGGTGGGGAGTGGTGGTGGAGTGGTTGGTGCGATTCCCACTCACGACCACCACACAAAAGTGACGATTATCCGAACCGGTCCTGGGACTCCCCTAGGTAGACTCGGCCTTAAATGAGTAGCCGGTGCAGGTGTGTGTGTGAAGATCAGCACTGGGGAGACAAAGGCGGCTGGGCGTGGTGCTGGCCACACCACCCCCTCGTGTGTCGTTCCTTCTGTTGCACACTCGAAATGAATGACGTTGGGCTGGTGCTCCAAATCGAGGGCAAACACATTCTCAGGAAGAACGTAATCAACCAGGTAGGGTGTTGACTGTTATGTTATCCGACTCTCTGTTGTATTACATTACATTTCTAAGTCTACTAGATTTGTGTTTCTATTTCATTTATACCTGATGATGATTGCTTGTGTTGCAAATCGAAACGTCGTATGCTAGTATTTAATTTATTATTTTATCTTTATACGTGACTTTACCGAAAGAACCAATGAGTAATTCCTGCAGTCACGAAAGCTCCAAATTAAGTTTGACATTTATTGTGGTTAATCTGTAGAATGCAACAGCACGCGGTGTCACACTAACCACGTGGCTGGTGCAGTGGCGGCTCCTGCAAAATCTCTCAGGGGGGGCAAATGTCTGGATGATTGATAAGGATAAGGTCCACCCATGCAATGGATAAATTAACAGCTTAAGCATGTAAAGGCAACTTCACTTCTTTAATATTAATGAAAAATAAAGTGACTCTTACAATACATCTTGTTTGTTTCTATACTCACTATTATTACAATACACTCAGTTTCTTTTATTAAAGATTCCACTAGGTGGCGACAAATAATATTGTTGGATGAAACGTGCTTACGTATGATGACGTTAGCACGTATGATGACGTAAGGCACGTTAGTGCGAGCCCTCCCGGAAGCCATAGAGAATGCATTGGAGCGCCCGCCGTTCTAAAAAAAACATCTTTGAATGTAAGTCTATGGGAACACTCTGGGCGATTCTCAGCCAGAGTGAAATCGCCCAAAAAGAGGCGGTACTCCACAGAACGTTACATGACGCTGATTGGACTATATCCAGAGGCACAGTGACGGCTAGCGTGACTCTGTGGTTGAATGACATTGGTGGTGCGTCGCCCAATCGCCATAATGAAGAAACCGCCCCTGGGCTGGTGTACACGTCCGGTTAATCATTAACCCTGCCAGCCCCCCCCCCCCCCCCGCAGGCCTAACTCGGTCATCACATGTTGGTGTACTCACGTGCATCGATGTACCGCACAGCACATGAGGACTTATTCAAAGAGTGGTCCACTCCTGATGTCGAGGTGCAGTGGGTGACATCACGTCACGCGCGCCCTCGGAGAGAGCGGCGTCGCGAGACGTGACGTAAGGCGGCGGGCCGTGGGGGACAGTGACGTCATGTCCCCGGGGGGGGGGGGGGGGGTATTTAAAGGGGGACCCGGGATGGAACCGGGGTTCGTCGGGGGTAGGAGTTGGGACTCGGGAAAACGAACTATACTATATAGAGGACGGCAGAGCTTTGGCAACTGCCAGGAGCGCCGGCTACTGCCTCCCCTCTCGTCTGTGGTGCCTCCTTCATTTGCAAGAACGACGACGATGCTGCTGCTGTGTCTGTACGTACGCGTGTTGAACTTCTTTCGCACCGTACGTAGCCAACCGCGCTAATCAAAGGTGCACTGGAAGGATAACAAACTAAGCACGAAGAGCAGTTCTAAAGAAATTAGTTTGTTAATCTATGCGAGTCTATGGGTCTCTATGGTTCTGTGGGTTTCTGTGCAAGTCTTTGTGTCTACGCGAGTCTGTGGGTGCCAATGTACGTACGCGTGTTGAACTTCTTTCGCACCGTACATAGCTAACCGCGCTAATCGGAGGTGCGCAGGAAGGACAACAAACTAAACACAACAAGAAGCAGTTCTAAAGAAAAGAGTTTGTCGATCTAGACGACGATTTAAAAGGTGCATAGCTCCAGTGGCTTCCTAATATCGGAAAGAAGAGCGTTCCAGACGGCCGCAGGAGCGCATCCGTAAGCGCAGCGCGATGATGCGGTGACCGCTGCCTTTGTTGGACGGTTAGACAAAAGCCGCTGCTGCTGCGGGGACGAGCGGAGGTCGCGTGACGGAGGTTAATGCCTCTTGACGAGATCATTTGTGGCAAGCGCTGTGTGTGTGCGACGAGCGTGACCTCGCGACACATTCGCTCGGCAAACGGAATTCTACGCAGCTCGGCGGGCACCTGATGGAACGGAACTAACGTCGTGGATATTTATTCATTAATCACGAATTATAAATAAGTTGTATTAGTCGCTCACCGCTTTGCAGCCGCCGTTCTTGCAGGACGTTCCAACCTTCACGAGCGCCACGCCGCTGTCGCCTACAGAGCGCCAGGGTCAAACTTCAGGCTGAGTGGGTGAGTGATTGAATAATTGGGTGAGTTGGTGGGTGAGTGGGTGAGTGGGTGCGTGAGTGACTGGGTGAGTTGGTAAATTAGTGGGTGAGTGGGTGAATGGCTGAGTGAATAAATGGGTAAAAGACTGAGTGAATAAGTGGGTGAGTTGGTGAATGAGTGGGTGGGTGAGTGGGTGTGTGAGTGGGTGGGTGGCAGAGTGGGTGAATGGCTGAGTGAATAAATGGGTAAAAGACTGAGTGAATAAGTGGGCGAGTTCGGGAATGAATGGGTGGGTGAGTGGGTGAGTGAGCGAGTGGGTGAATGATTGAGTGGGCGAGATGGTGAATGAGTGGGTGAATGACTGAGTGAATAAATTGGTGAAAGACTGAGCGAATAAGTGGGCGAGTTGGTGAATGAGTGGGTGGGTGAGTAGGTGAGTGGGTGGGTGGGTGGCAGAGTGGGTGAATGACTGAGTGAATAAGTGGACAAGTTGATGAATGAGTGGCGATTGGGTGAGCGAACGGGTGAGCGAGCGGGTGAATGGGTGCATGAGGATGGCGAGCGAGATGGTGAGCGAGTGGGTAAATGGCGGAGTGGGCTGATGAGCGAGCGAGCGAGTTGAGTTCAGGTCG